GAGAGCCACAGGAAGTTGGTGTTTGCAAGAATCTCAGAAATTCTAAACTGAGCCTGTTTTTTGCGGTTGGTGGAAGGGAGGGACGGGACATTGAGTCCTTGCCCACGATCACATGGCTCTTTGGTGACAGAGTATTTTCCCAAGACACTCCTCTGCTCCCCTCTCTAGAGTTGTTTGTCTTGCACTCTCCCTTTCATGGGTCTGAACGCTTCTCTCTTTTTCCATGGCTTTTTCTTCTTCTGTGACCCTTCCTCGTCATGAAATTGAATGGAGGTCTTTAAAACCAAAGCTGTGTGTCCACTCACTCCTTTCTCGTTCTCACTCACAATTCCAGAATCCATTTCTTGGCCACTTGATATTCTCCTTTACATGCTGTGATTTTTCACATGAACCCTCTACTTAACTTACACAGATCACAAATCCATGATTCTCTATCCCTACGCCTCACACCCAGAATGCTCTGCACCCTCTTCGGTTTATCTGAATCAGTGTCTCCTCAACGTGCGGTCTGAGCACTACTTAAAGCAGAATGGCCTGGCCCCACCCCCAACCTAATGACTACCTGGGAGCAGGTCCCTAGAACTTGCATTTTAGCAAGCTGCCCTGGGCCATTTGATGGCCCTGGAAATTTGAGAACCCCAGATCTGAGCCCCACCCTCCCCAAAACTCCATGCAAGTCGCCCCCTCTCAATACAGCCTCTTCTCACCACCGCAGCCTCGCTTCCCTCCGGACATTCACCTTTGTTGTATTGCTACTTATCTTATCCTGCCTGCCTTTTTGATTAAAACTTGAGGGCAGAGAGGAAGAAAGAAGAGAATTTGGTGGTGAGCAGTTGTGTACCAGACACTCTGCAAGAGCCAGTGAAGTAGATGCTATCGGCCTTGTTTTACAAATAAGGAAGTTAAATTTCAAAAAGTTGGGTAACGGTTTCAGGGTTATGCAGTTATTAAGCGGTGGAACTAAACCTACAGCCTTGGTCTTTTTTCGCTCCAAAGCCTCTGTTCTTCTGACACAGACCTTGGGCAACTCAGCCTTGGGACTGAAGCATAGCCACTTCCCATGTGCTAAGTCCTAATATCTGTTCGTTTTTTACAATAACATGAACTTTCTCTGGAGTCTCCACAGATTTCTTTCTCACTTTCTGCCCACCCCCATTCAATACATGTCTTTCTAAAAGTTTTGCCCTGGTCTCTCCTCTCTTCTCACTCTTCATCCTGACCTCATTTTTTGCGACTGGATGATGGATGCCAGGATCTATTTCCAGTCCAGATTTGAGTTTCCAAACCATAAGCTCCAATGCCTAGGACCATTTCCATAGGTCCTAAAATTCAAGAAGCTCTGTTCCTTGATTTTCCTTCCAATCATCTTTTCCTGCAAATTGCTGCAGTCATTGGGCAGATCCTGCCGAAGGGCTCTTTTAACATCTCTTCCAGCCTCTATTTGGTGGACCTCCCCAGTGCAGAAGCCAGAACGCTCCTAGTCTGCCTCTGAATTTTACAGGCCCCAGGGCTCAGTCTTATTCTCATTCCTCAGGCGGTCTCATTCAGTTCAAAGGCATTTAATAGCATATATCTGCTGATGAATCCCACATTTCTCTCTCCACCAGACCTCTTCCTTGAACTTCAGACTCCATATGGGTGTCTAATCAATGTCCGAACTTACTATATCCAGAAGAGAACTCTGAGGTCCCTGCAGCCCGCAATGCTCACCTTCCACATGGTGGATGACTTATTCCTCCGTCTTTCAGATCTCTGCTTGGGGATGGCTTGCTCTACCCATCTTTTCTAAAATAGAGCACGCACCATCACCTTAACCCGCCTGAGTGTATTCCCATGGTATTTGCTTAGCAGAAATGAGGTTATTTATTGTTTGTTCCAGTATAACCAAGATCTCTAAGAACAAGAACTTGTTCACTGCTGTCTTCCTGATACTTAGAAGGGTTCTTGCACAAAGTAAGTGCAAGAAATATTTCTTAGTCTTAGATGCCCACTGCCACTTTCCTAATATATGCCACCATTCTCTCTCCCGTGGCTTGCTGTGCTCTCCTTGCCTCCAGATGCAATTATTTTCCAAATTGAAGCCACTGTGATCCTCTTAAAATGCAAAGGTGTTCATCCACTGCCCTTCTTAGACCTTTTGGGGAGGTTCTGTGTTAGTCTGCACCCTGGATCTCAAGCAACAGAAACCCAGCTTGCTCAGGCAAACACGAAATTTGGGGGCACAAGAATCTGAGGAAGGGTTGACTAACTAAAATGTGGGATGAGCTGGGATGCAGCTGGACTTCAGGAACAAAGGGAGTAAGAGATTCAAAGGTGCAAGAGTTCTCTCTCTCTCCCTCCTCCCGTCTCTCATTGATGTTTCTCTCTTATCTACTTTATTCTCTCTCCTTGCACACTGGCGTTTTTCACCCATACGTGAGCCAAGAGAAGAATCACAAAGTTAATTTGAGGGCATGTTTTATGCTTGCCCTGGCATGAAAATTCCTAGTTACAGCTCTGCCTTGAAGTTCCGTTCTACATAAGAATTTCTGATGGCAGATCTATAACTTTATTCAGTATGTGTGGGGATGAGAAGACAGAAAATATACTCACACCAGGAAGTTATGGGAAGGGTAGATTATTGATCTGCCTTTCTGTATTTGTCTTGCTAGTTGGAGCATTAGGATTTGAGGTTTGGCCAAAAGGGTTACAGTGTTACTTACTGCTGGTGATCCGCAAAGATCAGAGAAATATGCTCGATGGGAGAAATGTGTCCCTCAGCAGGTATGGCCACCTCTTGTGCCTTCACTGTAGGATTCACAGCCATGTGGCCCAGCCACTGGGCAAGAGAGTGTGAACTACTCTGGACGGAGAGTGCTGAGATGGTCCCAGATCTCCCCAAAGATGTGGGTGTTTTACCATGTCTCCAGCATCGCACATCAGCCTGCAGTTTTAGCCACAAAGGTACTAGCACCTGACGATCTTCACTGCAGAAAATCAAAAACTAAACTATGGCTTCCCATTTATGTAGCTTGGAACACTCAAGGCTCCAGACTTTTCTCCATCGTTATCTGAATATTTCTTTCTGTCCAATGTCCTTGGTCAGACTCAGAATTGCTTATGAAGCTCAGGGGTCAGTCATCAACCATCCCATTTCCTTCTATTTCTTTGTTCCTGTGCTTCCTGAAAAGAGCCCAGAGTCTCATTTCTCACAGACTTGAAGCAAATGCTAAGGAGTCAGAGTTGCACCATCCCACAGGTGCAGCTTCTTGTCCACCCATGTGTTCCCCCAAAAGCTGGCATCTGTGGAAGAGTCACCCAGTGACATGGCACGTCACCAGAAGTTCCCACTGTGCCACTATAGGCTACTGAGACTCAGACTCAACAGTCCAGTGGGGAAAACAGCAATGGCCATCTCAGTTATAAAATATATGCTCTCTGGACCTTCTGAAAACCTTGTAACCAAGTACCAGCAGGCAAAATGTTACATCCCTCCTTTGCTAATAGAATCATTTCACTCTCTTCCCTGCCACGTCCTCTGGATGCTCTCAATTTATCGATTGCAAAGCCTTTTCTTTTAAATGAATTAAGGGGCATTACCACTGAGGTTTCTATTTCAGTTGCAGACAAAACATAATCAACACGGAAGCCCACCTGGAATTCAGAGGCTCCAGGGAGGTCCTCAGATCCTCAGCACTCGGTTTGATGTCTTAAAAATAGATGAAAATCAGGTTAATCTGGTGTCACTTTGTCTTTAGGTGTGAGGGACAGGGGAAAAATAAACTTGTCAGCCAAAGAAATCTTGAATGGATGGGGACTGGAGTGGGAGGTGTAAGCTGAAAAGATGCGATTGCATGTCTGTGGGCCATCTGTGTGTTTCGAGGGAAATTGTGATTGAGAAATCATTAGCACGAAAGGAAGACAGTATGATACTGAGATGCCTCTTTTGAAATCAGATCCCACATAAACCAAGGACTGGATGGGTCAGCCTTAGGGAGAGTGAAATTGCCACACTGCCCCTTGCATGATCAAGTATGTTTGTTTCCCACGGCTGCTATAACAAATCATTTTAAAAGAAAGCAAATTTATTATCTGGAGTTCACAAGTCTAATGTGTCCACAGGGCTGCTTTTTTTCTGGGTTCTAGGAGAGAATCTGTTTCCTTGACTTTTCTAGCTTCTGGAGGTTGCCTACACTCCTTGGCTTGTGACCCCTTTTCTCTACTTTCAAAGCATCTTCATGTCGCTCTCTGACCCTCCTGCTTCTCTCTTATAAAGGCCCTTGTCATTACCTCGGGCCCACCCGGGATATCCGGGATAATCTCCTAATCTCAAAATCCTTAATTAAAGCATATCTGCTAAATCCTTTTTGCCCTGTAAAGTAGCATCTTCATAGTTTCCAGGGACTAGAATGTGCACATCTTTGGGGGCCATTGTTCAGCCTACCGTACCAAGGAAGCCAAGGTTACTTTTGTTGCCTTAGTGACTTTTGGGTCAAATTGGCAGGCAGGTAAACTGCTTCAGGGATGGTCACCGCTGTTGTGGCTTGCATCTCTCCTCTCATTTTCCTGGATCATACAGAGCTAGGGGAGCATTGATCATATAACCAGGGCCTATCTCGTGGGCTGTTTTCAGCGCCAAGTCTTATTGTAATCTAACAACAGCAAAGAGGTGTTAGTCAATGTTGAGTCATAAAACGTTAGGACTTGAAAGGATCTGAGAGATCATGTGATCTGATCTTCTTCATCTTATATGCGCAGAGAATGAGGTACAGAGAGACCAAAGTGACTTGCCAAGGTCAACAGCTAATTAGTAACACAAAAAACCTAGCACCCACTGCCTAGTTCTCGTCTCATTACATCACTGGGGCTGCGAAGTAATTTTAGGAAGCCCTGTTGAGTTAGTTGCTGATTATCTCATCTCATCATTTTTTCCCCATGATATTGGGTAGATAACGTTATATTCAAAACCCAAGAAAGAAGTAAGAAAAAGTAAAGTAAAATAAAAACACGAAGTTCACTGATCTGGGGTAACCACCGTTTACCAATGTGGCTGATGCATAAAGTGCGAGAATAATGGCAAATAGATTTAAATCTTAGGATGAAGAAAGTTTTTTCCTAAGAAATACAGTCTAAGAAATATGGCTGAAATAATTGTAGAGGGAAATGCCTAGTTTCCTTGGGCTTTTTAATGTTTGGTTTTTTTCAAAGTTTATAGAAAAGCATTTGTTGAGGGCCCACTGTGTGTGAGATGTTGTCTTAGGTTCTGAGAAAAAGACAATAAAAGAAGGTTTTATTGAGGTTTATCATTTATCATTTGGATTTCCCAAACTCCTGGAATTACAGAGAAAAACAACTTTAAATTTTAAAACACAACAATCTCAAATTGTGGAAGTAGGGCATCAAATGAGAATAATTGAATATGTAGCACATGAAAAAATGACATGCAGTTCAAAGCATATTCATAACCCTTTTAAATTCCTTGTGGATGGGAACCTATTCCTCTGCTCGAGTGGAATTGCTTAATCTGCCAAAATCAGATGAGCCAAAGCACTCAGGCGTGGTTAAGATATGGATATCCAGAATTTGGGCAAATCCTAATGCAGATGGGAGAAATGAGTGCCAACCTTCGCACCTGCGTGAGCCCTTTACCATTTGGGTTTATAATTCTCACACACAGACTCCTGGCTTATTTTTCCTAGTATTTGCTAAATCACTTTCTCACTTATCATAAATTACCCCAAAAGAGCAAGGCAGTTTGCTTTGGAAACCAATGAACGCTTTCAGGTCTCTTGGTATCTTGTGATACATTCATTTGTAACTGTATTTTGGAGTACGGAAATATTTAGGAAAATTAGTCAACTAGAGATGATGTGCGTAATTTGACTCAGGGAATCACTCACATTTTCACTTCTTTGTAGCCTGAAATCAACAGAAGCGGAATTCAGCAGAAAGAGAGGAGAGAGATGGTGTTGAAAGGAATGTTTCTGAAATGTCAGAGGTGATGGGGAGAGTTGGGCACCTTGAAAGCCCAAATCAGTAACTCCTACCACCTGCACAGGTCTGAGGTTTTTGCACTGGGCCGATGGACGGTAGCTGCTGTCTTGGGATGACCAGGTCAGGCTTTGAAACTGACTGATCAGTCAAGCAGTTCAGAGATGGGCCATTGGCTCAGAAATTGCACAGAGGACGATGGCAGCAGTGAGTAGTGTGAATTTCAGAAGATTTCATAACTCTCTTGAAGCACACAGTTGTGTTCTCTGTGCAGCCTTTAACTGAATACCACTGAATTCCACCTGAAGGCAACAGAAGAGACAGAGGTTGAGGAGTCCCTTGGGAGGTGCACCTACCTGGCCTCAGACGCTTTAGATAACCAACAGGTGAACAAAACAGAGACAAAATAAAAACTCTGGACTTATGGAGACACAGTCATCTTATGTTTAAGAACTCCCTCCTAAAGGTATTCTAGTTGGGTACATTGCAATACAAAAACTGGGGAATTGTAAAACAAAATAGCTGTCCAATTCAGATGAGAAAAGCCATGCAATTGCCATCGACTATGTAGAACTTTCTGAAGCGTTAGCTGTTTGGAAACTTCCTGATATCATTCCCCAGTTTTACACAGGTTATGAGTTATTCAAAGGGCTGAATCCACAGAAGGATCCTTTAGATGTGTAAGTGATTCTCAGCAACGGATGTCCTCCACCTCTCTTGATTTTCTGCCTGATTACAGAACTCCCCAAAGGCAGCACAATTTAGGAAACCTGAGAAAACAGTAGTCTCTCAATTGGGGGCAATTTTGCTTCCAGGACATTAGATGATGCCTGGAGACGTTGTTGCTACAACCTAGAAGATGCTGCTGGCATGTAGTCAGGAGAGGCCAGGGATGTGCTAAACATCCTACAATACTTGAGATGGGACCGAGCGACAAAGGATTAAATCTCTTTACTTATTCTGGTTAGATATTAATAGTTTTTTCTGTTATTTATATTCCAACTATTTTCACCCAGGTTGTTCTGTATTTCTTAAGTTTGGGGGTTATCATTCATTTTACAATTTTCAAAATATCACTATATTCAAATTTATCTATCCATTTTTTTACGACTTTTGCCTTTTGGGTATTAAAGAGGCCTCCTCTTTCCCAAGCTTAAAATATGTTCTCCAATATTTTCATGATTTGGATTTTTATGTTTAGCTCTTTAATCCATGCAGACAAGGCCGGCTGCCTGGGCACGCAACCTGTGCAGTAACACAGCGCTCTGCGCTTAGAAGGGCCCAGCAAATTTGGTATTAATTTTTTGTGAGGATGTGAGGGGTATGAATGAAGCAGTATATAGATTCATTAGGAATATGCGCTCTGGAGTCAAAGTACTTGCATTTGAATCTTGGCTCCAACACTCATTAGCTGTGTAATATTGTGCAAATTTCTTAAACTTTCTATGCCTCAGAATCCTCATCCTTAAAATAGGGACAGTGACAAGATCCAGCGCCCATTATTGTTTTGTTGGTGTAATGCAATCCAGGTAAAGTCCTTAGGATAGCATCTGGCATGTAGTAAATGTTCCATGAATGTTGCTGTTGTATAAGGATTTTTCCTGTGCTCATCCTAAATAGGTTTTTTTTTTAAAGTGTCAAGACTTACCTTTAATGTGAACCTCTTTTATACAATGCTGACCAGGTTTTGCTATGCAGGTTCCAAAGTCTAAAAGACATCCATGGAATGGGACGGAGAGGTTGCAGTATCTACAAATCAAACATCCAGCATCTCCAAATATAGGAGCGAAAAAATAAGGGGAAAATAGAGATGGAGGCCAGAGCAAGAAAAAACGGGGAAGAGACATCCAAAAATAAAGCAGTGATTTTCAACTTTAAAAAGTATGTAGTATTTTTTAAATTAATTCTAAAAGCTCACATAAATTAAAATTATTTTTATTTTGAGAATGGTTGAAATTTAAAGCATATGCTACATTCATGAATTGGAAGCACCCAGAACTGATACTAATTAGAAATGAGACCAGGTGGTTTAAACAACTTAGTTGGGTAAAATTTATTCAGTTCCTCTGCTCTTAATTAAATCAAAACAAAGTTATTTAGCCAGAAAATTTAATTTCAGCCATATATTCTCTGTTACGCCTTCATTTCAATGTCTAAAGCAGCACATTATATATAGTGGGTTCTCGGTGAATAATTTTTGCTTGATCAATACTTACATGCTGGTTATCGTCAATACTCAAATTCAGTGGCTCGAAATGTTATTCATTTTGGTTATGTAAAAATAGCCCAGAGATTCTACTAAGAAAGAGTTTACTAGACATTTTGTGCAATGTATTTTAAATCTCCCTCTGCCATATTAGGGATTAGATCTCTTTTAATAGAAAATAGGCAGGCTGATGAGGCTATTGACTATTGACTGTTCTCCCCAGATTCCACCTCAACTAAAGACACTTTGGAAATTTCACCTTGGTTCTCTTACTGAGCATGACAGACTTTCAATCCATAAGCAATGATCAATCAACAAATATTTTTTTAAGAATTAAGCTTATGCCGAGGACTCTGCTAGGCAATTTACGTGCATTAGCCCAATCATTTCCTACAATAAAACCTTTCAGGCAGGTATTATAGTTGCCCACATTTCACATAAAGAAAACTGAGGCCTCAAGATTTTAAGTAGCTTGCTCAAGTGCCAAAGACAGGAGCTTAGGAAGGTCTGTGGCTATCCTAAGCCCCTGTTCTTAGCGAGCATACCGTGTCACTCAAGCCACCTACCTTTTGCGTATCCCAAACCTTCTGATGTTGCCCTCTTCTTGCTGGAGATTTTGACTTTTCCTAGGTTCAGGGTCAGTTGCCTGCCCAGAATTCTAGGGCTGCCTGTTTCTTCAAGTCACGCCTGAGTGAGTTTTCCTCCTGGACTTATTTCTCAATCTTTCAACTTGCCCTTTGAGATCCACTTGGGCTCAGACCTTTGGTGCCAGTGACCCTGCCTAGGTGGAGAGCTTACATGATGCCAGATCTTTCTGTGCCTTGCCTAAGGCCCCTGGACTCTTTTCCTGAGTAGGATCTGCTCTAGCTTCTTTCTCTCCCTCTCAGATGGTCCCTCCTCCTTCTCATTCCACACCCGATATCCATAGCCTTCTTCCTAAAATCTTGCCTCTGACATTCTTTACTATGAGGGAAGATGATGCCTTAACTTTTAGGCCTTTTTGCTGACTGTAGTCGTTCAACTGCCAGAACACTTATAAATATGTTCATGGATCCCATTTCCTTTCTTCCAGTCTCTTTTTGTCTGAAAATTTGTTGTTGGTTTTATTAACATAACTAAAACATGATATATTCCGATTTGACAACTAAATTTAGAGCTCCAGGTTATATGTAAAATGAATAGTTTCCTTACATGATTTATTCTGAAGGATGCTCTTCTATTTTATGAATTTATTTATTAGTGGGGAACCTTCAACAGATTATATATATATAATTACTTAACTGCTTATTATACATCCTATATACAGTTATTTAAACAAATATGAAATCATGATGATGGTGATCTTTTTTAAATAGCCACCCCTTATTTCATGGGCACACCTTACTTCCAAATTTCTCTATATGCTGAACTTTCTTCTTTTACCTTCATGTCTTTCCTGCGCATCCAACAAAATGAATGCTGTGCCCTCCCTGAATGATTTTTTCATGATATCCTAGACACTGTAGATATTCAGCTGTGATTTTTTTTACCTACTCATATGCTCCCCTCCACATTCTTTACAGGAGAGAAGTATAAGGACTTAATCCTCAGCACTAGACCGCCAGGGAGCATCAGAGAAGTATAAGGATTTAAAATGCAGCAAAGACCCAAGCTATGCAGTTTGCCTTTCTCGCTGCCCTCTCTGCAAGGGGTAATCAGAACTCTATGTGCACTGTATTTAGTGATGAGGGTAGTGTGGGCAGCAGAGGCCACAAACTGGTGGCCCCGGGGCCAGTCCTGGTATGTTTAACTTGCAGAGAGCCTTCAAAGTTTCTATTAGTTGTCAACATTTAAAAATTGGGAAAATTTTCCTACAAACCTGAATTTCTGGCTTCTCTTGCAGAAGCAGAAGATTTGGTAATGTTGGGCTCTCCCGTCTCCGTGGCAGCAAACATCTGTAGCTGGGGATCAGCTGCCCCCCTTGATTTATTGCTGGCTGGCTTCCCCCATTTATATTATCTGCTCAAACACTTTAGGCATTTAGGTTGGTGACCCCAGTCTTTGTCTAAGTCTCAATAATAGAATTTTATTTATTTCTTGGATGCCTCCTAGATTCTTCGTACCGAAGCGTGGTCTCCAGAACAACAGCATCAGCATGACTAGGAAGCTTATTGGAAATGCAGACTCTGAGGCCCCACCCCAGACCTGCTGAATCAGACGCTGCAGCTGAACAAGATCCCCAGGTGACTCATATGTTCATTAAATCTTCTGACTCTAAGCGACCCTGCGCTCTTTGCGCCTGCGTTCAGTGTAGAGCAGCTGTCTGCATCACCTTCTTACCATTTCATTGAGAGGGAGGGTTCCCTTCATGGTGCTTGAACACACCTGTCAGAGATCATACCTTCACGAACATCTACCTAGTCCGAGGGGCTTTAAGAATCCTGTAAAAGGACTTGGGAACTTCCTATTATCTCCTTTATGTAGTTCTTTTATAAATGAAAGAAGGTTGGAGTTGGTGGAAAAGAGCACATATAACAGGAAAAGTGCTAGGAGCCCCGTATCTGTGCTTCTTTTGTTCCAATTAATTCACTTTCTTTGCCATATTTATAAGGGCTTCCAGCCTAATTTGGTTAGTTGCAAATTAGCAACACTCATGGCAACATGTGGGCCACCATCTACCAGCTCAGTTTTCTCATCTGTTAAATGGGAAATAACAGCACTTGACTCATAGGGTTGTCAAGAGGATGCAATGAATTAATACAAATGAAATGTTTACACCACTACTTGGTATACAGTAAGTGCTCCATAAATGTTAGCTGTTATTATTTAAATGCTTACTCAGGCCTAGTTAGGAGCACTTTAATTACATAACCTTATTTACAACCACCCTCTACTTATATTGTAATTCTTCATTTTCTTAAGTAATTTTCCTCTTTTTGATTTATCCTTTCTTAAACTTACCACGTAAGAGCCAGAATAAGATAAAAACACCACCGAAGGCAATACCTCTCATTCTCAGATTTCTAGCCAAGAAAGATGGAAGGAAAGACACGTCCCACCATTAAATCTTGCCTGGGAAAGTAATAAAGTTACACACTTATGTTAGTTGCTATAAGAAGGGAAATGACTGGTTATATTTCATTTATCTCATTAAGAAAATATAAATGTTTATTTTATGAAGGAGGAAAAATAAAGTACTTGTCTTTACCAAAAATTTACCATAAAACTTCTCCAAATTCCAGAATATTTTAAGTTTAGGTGTCTTCCTATTACCAAATACCAACTCCTGCCTTCCTTTTTTCCTGAACTGTAATTGTTTATTGCAAAAATGTGAAGTGAGACAGATGATGTTTCTAGAATAATAATTCTGTTAAAAATAGTTTTAACTATTAGCTGAAAGGAAAATATTTACTTATGCCTCTTCATAAACAAATGCCTTCATTGCAAATGATCATATTTGTGATGATCATATTTATATTTATAAATCATAGTTTTAAAGAAAAGCATTATATGATCGTTAACAATAGTTAATACTTATTAAATAAAGAGAAAGAAATTGTCCAATTGGCTAAAATATAACATTTCAGTTATTGATGGCCTACCTGCCTTCTTCCTGAAGGTATTGTGGGAGTTTTCTAGATCTGAGCTTCTTTAAGGGGTAACAACAGGTAAAGTTTCTGATGTAAGGAAGTCCGTTATAACTGAAACAAACAAGGCCAGTCTCTGATCCACTAGATTCCAAACGGTTTAAACAGTAAAAATTGCCCAAGTAAACAGGGAAACTTTTCACCTGAACCCTCTGATCTACATGGACCTTAGTCGCCTTTCTCAGGAAATTAACATAATAAGACTAAGTCAACAGTTAAACTGATTCACTGTAAATTTAGCTAAAGATTGCTGTGTTCACCACGCTACGGATTAATTAGTTCACATATACTTGGCCATATGGATATACTATTTGTTCATTATATAAGGTGTTTGGTCTTCATTTTTTTTTTAATTAAGGGTATGAAAGTTAACATCCTTGTGAAATTACAGTTGTACATCATTATTAGTCATGTTGTAGGTACACCACTTCACCCCTAGTGCCCTACCCCCACCCCCCTTTCCCCTGGCAACCACTGATCAGTTGTCTTTGTCCATATGTTAACTACCACCTGTGAGTGGAGTCATAGAGAGTTCCTCTTTCTCTGTCTGGCTTATTTCACTCAACATAATACCCTCAAGGTCTATCCATGTTGTTGTGAATGGTACGACTTTGTCCTTTTTTATGGCTGAGTAGTATTCCATTGTATATATATATATATATATATATATATATATATATATATATATATACCACATCTTCTTTATCCAATCATCAGTTGCTGGGCACTTAGGTTGGTTCCATGACTTGGCTATTGTGAATAATGCTGCGATGAACATAGGGGTGCATGGAACTTTTGGAATTGCTGATTTCAGGTTCTTGGGATAGATACCCAGTAGTGGGATGGCTGGGTCAGAAGGTATTTCTATTCTTAACTTTTTGAGGAATCTCCATACTATTTTCCATAGTGGCTGTACCAGTTTGCATTCCCACCAAGTGTATGAGGGTTCCCTTTTCTCCACAGCCTCTCCAACATTTGTCACTCTTGGTTTTGGATATTTTTGCCATTCTAACAGGTGTAAGGTGATATCTTAGTGTAGTTTTGATTTGCATTTCCCTGATGATTAGTGATGATGAGCATCTTTTCATGTGTCTATTGGCCATCTGTATATCTTCTTTGGAGAAATGTCTGTTCATGTCCCCTGCCCATTTTGTAATTGGGTTGTTTGATTTTTTATTGTTGAGTTGTGTGAATTCTTTGTATATTATGGAGATTAACCCTTTGTCGGATAAATAACTTGTGAATATTTTTTCCCAATTAGTGGGCTGTTTTTTTGTTTCAATCCTGTTTTCCCTTGCCTTGAAGAAGCTCTTTAGTCTGATGAAGTCCCATTTGTTTATTCTTTCTATTGTTTCCCTCATGTGAAGGGTTATGGTGTCCGAAAAGATTCTTTTGAAGCTGATGTCAAAGAGTGTGCTGCCGATATTCTCTTCTAGAAGACTTATTGTTTCGGGCCTAATCTTTAGGTCTTTGATCCATTTTGAGTTTATTTTAGTAAATGGTGAAAAAGAATGGTTGATTTTCATTCTTTTACATGTGGCTGTCCAGTTTTCCCAGCACCATTTGTTGAAGAGACTTTCTTTCCTCCATTGTAGGCCCTCAGCTCCTTTGTCAAAGATTAGCTGTCCATAGATGTGTGGTTTTATTTCCGGGCTTTCAATTCTGTTCCATTGATCTGTGCATCTGTTTTTGTACCAGTACCATGCTGTTTTGATTACTGTAGCTTTGTAGTATGCTTTGAAGTCAGGGATTGTGATGCCTCCAGCTTTCTTCTTCTTTCTCAGGATTGCTTTAGTAGTTTGGGGTCTTTTGTTGCCCCTGTTTGGTCTTGATTTTTTAAAAAAATACCATATAATCTTCACAGAAGAACTTGGTGCATTCAGAAAGCAATTTGATTTTTTAAAAAGGTTTATTTCTAAGTTAATATATAGTTCCAAATTAATACATTCTTTTTGAAACAAATTAAAATGCCAAGAATATTAAAATCTTCTTTGACCATGTCCTTACCAAACCCAGTGTCTTCCCCAAATGTAACCACATTATCCATATGCTGTGTATCATTTCCATTCTGTGCATTTTCATAATATATTTATGACTTGAGAATTTGCATAATATTGTTTTTTGTTTTATTTTTACAATAATAGTATCGTACTCTACATATTATTTTTCCCCTTGTATTTCATTCAAAAATATGTTGAAAATCTTTCTATGTCAGTCTTTAAAACTTCATTATTTTTCAATCCTATATAATATCTTCTGGTATGGATATAGCATAGTTTATTTAGCCATTCCCTGATTTATGAGGACATAGGTTCTTTCTGTTTTTTTATGACAAACAATGTGACAATGTGTATATACGTCCTTGGCCATCTATACAAGTTGTTTCTTTAAAACAGATCCTGAAAAATGGAATTGCTTCTCTCAGGGTATGTTCACTTAACATTTCAGTAGATACTATAAAATTGCCCCTGAAGGTAACTATCAATTTTTCTACCACAAGCTGAGTATGAGTACTTTTTTCCTTCAGACCCTCATTAATACTGAATCAAAGATTTGCAAAATGATTTTATTAGTATCTAGAAATCTAAATTAAGATAACATGTTTTGGCTTATCAAGTTGGCAAAGATGAAAAAGTAGGTTGTTATTGACAGTATTCTGAAACATGTGCTTCTAGTCACAGAGTGGGGAAATGTAAATGAGCGTGTGTGTCATCCATATGTGCCATTAGTACATGTACTCATATATACACACATACACACATAAATAATTTGTATCACACCATAGCTATAGATTTGTAGCCTGCTTTTTTTTAAAAAAAGGAAAACTTCATATTTTGAGTGTTTATTTTGTCATTAAATATTCCTCAAGAATATATTTTTAAAGGTTTTGTAATATTCTGTAATATTCAATATAGTAAGTCAATGGCCTCACTATAATTTATTTAATAATTCTTGCATGTTTGATATTTCTCATATTTTTCTCGTGTTTGAATATATCTTTAAGATAAATTTTTAGAAATGGAATTACTAGGAGAAAGACATAAAACTTTTATAAGGCTCTTGATACACATTAGCAAATAATTTTCTAGAAAAGTAACACCAGTTTAGAGCTATCATGTGTCATTTTCATTTTTGAATCCCCAGCGCTTAGCTAGCATTGTGTCTGGACCATAAGAAGCTCTCAGTTAATGCTACTTTTTCTTCCATTCCTTCTGGATGTTTTCTTTTTGCTCACATATCTTCATTACAAGTTTGTCTTTGGCCCTGAATGGACCACTGTTAGAAAATTATTTCCTTGCTCAAGATGACATTATCTGATTAGTCAATCCACGAACATATGTTTCTACAAATACAAGCTGTTAGGTATTAATCATGAGGATATTTTCCTTGATATATATTATCTATATCTTCTTTCCTTTAATGAGAATTTGTTTTTCTGACTCTTTCTAATTGATATGTATAGGAAATAGATTTTGGCAAAAGCTAAGAAATCAGTATGGAGTGTGGTGTCTTGAAAATGGCCACTGAGTGTCTTAGAGTTTTGAGTGGAAATTTCCATCTGAGATGCTCCATGAAAGGTGACAGGATACAAAATACTGACACTTAAGTCAATAGCAATACATACTGTATGATTCCATTGATCATATGAAACTCAAGAACAAGCAACATGAATCTATAGTGATTGAAGGTGGAATATTGGTTAATTCTGAAAGGGAGGACTGACTTGGCAAGGGGCTTGAGAAAATTTTCTAGGGTGAAATGAAAATGTTCTATATTCTATCTAAGTGGTGGACACATGTATTTATGCAAATGTAAAGTGAGGTTGAGCCGTACACCTTAGATTTGTGCATTTTACTGAATATTACCTTTGGGGTGTACATATGTTTTCATTCCCCACCTCATTAGGAGATGAATCATTGGGAACGTTTTGCAAGCACCTCCGTATGAGTTACAAATTCACTGAATGGTGTTAAGCAAGGGAGTGACATTATTTATTCAATAAATATTTAATGAGTTTTTACTATATTCCAGACATGGTGATTTCAATTTTTTGAAAAATTATTCTGGTAGAAGAGTGAAAGTTAGGTTGGCAAAGGTGAGGCAGGGAGAAAGTTAGGAAGGTGTTGTTTGTTCAGTCAAGAGATGATGAAGCCTGGAAGCAGGGCAGAAGCAGAAGGGATGGAAAAGTGGAAACTGATGACAGAAATGCTAAGAACTGTATGTTCAACATCTCAAGCCTCATGGTCTTGTGTGAGCGGAACAGCTTAGTCCTCACATTTTCTACTCTAGCACTTCACTTAGCACTCTGTAAAAGAACTATCTCTTTATATTCTCTCTCACCAGACTGTTAACTCCTTGAGTGAACAAATGCCATCTTGATATCTCCAGCTTCTAGCAGGATGCCCAACACGTAATAGGTGCTTG